AAAAAAAAATAATAATATCAGTTTTAAAATACAACTATATATTATTTTACAAAGAGAAAAATAAAAGCAGACACTCTAGAGACAGCAAATAGACTATGTTAGGCATATGGGCAATAGAATTAGACAGGCCTGGATTTGAATACTGACTGTTTCTAATACCTTTGGGGCTTGAGACTCAGACTGGGTACTGTACATACCTCCTTAAAACACTAGTTCTGGGGGTAGATGAGATTATATATGTAAAGCATTCACTATCTGCTCTTTAGTGAATTACCAGCCACCATTTTAATTATTCCATTCAAATATAACCTCATACCTCAGGCTTGTTGTAAACAAATGTTAGCTATTAAAAATATTTAAATAAGAAATGTAAGAACCTATATATATATATATATACACACACACACACATATATATACATATATATATACATACACACATATATATACATATACATATACATATATTGAGAACTATTCCATCTTTTCCTATCTGGCACCACCAATTATAGAATGATAGAGCATGAAACATGTGGTCTGTAAAACCTTTTACTCTGAAAACTACTGAATAAAATTAAGCAATATTTGCTAAACTTTTTATTAATATATTTAAAAAGGTAAAGACTTAAGAGTCTCTCCTGATAATTCTGTTGCAAATTCACTCCTTCCCTACTAAATCTGTATCTGGTCCCCTGCAATTGTGGAAGAAAACACACTTCGTTAAAGACTGGGAAAAGCCAAAACTAGAAAGCTTTTTCTGTTGTTTCAATTTTTTACCCCTCTTCTCCAGAATAAAGTTCTTGAAAAAGATAAAGTGATTACTGAAGTTTATGATAAGGATAGGGATAAACATTAAGGTGATTTCAAGTTAAACAGTTCCATATTATATTTGCAGAATTCGCCAAATCCTTATGACATCACTTTTCCATGCTATAAAAAACAAAAACATTACAAATTCTTAGGAAAACGTGAACACACTTACCCAGCCACAGGATGAACTACAATTGATCGTGGGTTACTTAATAGTGGAACTATTGTTCGTCTGGATTTATCAGCTAGTCTCATGACACTGACACTCTTGTAATGAGAGTCAGTCCAATAGAGATTCCTTGAAATCCAATCAAAGGCCAAACTTTCAACATTTTCCACCCTGTTAGGTACCAGAATTTCTCTTCCTGTAAGTTAAAATATGGACATGGTTTAAATGAAGCATATGACATAAATGGTCCTGCCACTGCATATTTAAATTCTGTATCAGAGTTAAAAGAATATTTCAGTAACATCTGGAAATCTTTTTTTAATAAACTGTGAACTGCAGAGCAACAGCATGAGAGAAAGCTAAACTCTATCCATTCTCCAAACTTTGGATCTCAAAGACTAGATATGATAGATATGATACTGGGTAACTAGAACAAGGAGTGGTAGAGGCCCAGATTTACTCCCCTGTTCAACCTTCCAGAAAAATTCTCACTGCAGAACATCTGAAGAGGTGATACCTGAGTTCACCTACTACCCACCCCAACTCCCCACCCCAACGCTGGAATAAGCTGACACCACCAGGTACGACCGGAGGGTAACCCTGAAGCATCACTGCCCAGCCCTCTCATCAACAGTCTTTCACAGCCACAAAGTTGCCAGGTTTGGGAAAGACCAGCAAAGATACCAGAAAGGAAATCAGAACTGGGTGCAGAAGAAAAAGACAACCCCCTCTTTGTGAAATTTGTATGTCTTTTCCCCTTTATTTTTTTTTCAGAAAAAAAATTTAAAGAAAATCAGAACCAAAACAACCAATCATACCTCTCTCTTTTTCAGTAGGGGAAAAAAGAACCAACCTAGTGCTTTTCTCATTCATTTTTTCAGAAAATTGTGAAAAGAGCCTTTGGCAGATTAGGCTTTCAAGCAGAAAAAGAGAAGCAGAAGAAACTCAAGCAGCTAAAAGCAAAGACCACGTAGAAAGGTCTCGTGGCCACAGGTGGAATTAAGAAATCCCACAACAGTAGCTACAATTAAGTATTGTCTTGGAGCCTATTGTACATTTAGATCCAGTTGTTTTCACTCAACCAATCCTGCCTTAGCTGTGAATTAAAGTAAAACCAGCTGGGGGTAGGGGGAGGGGAAAGCTGTAAAGAGAAAGTCCTCTCTGCACTAGACAACCTACTAGATACTGAGAAAACATAATATTGCCAATAATATTAATGCTTATAGTTTATATTAAATGAGCACTCACTATGAGCCAGAAACTGGACCAAGTACTTTACACGGCTTCATCCTTACACCACTCAATTGAGGAGGCAGTTATTGTCACCATTTTACAGATGGGGGAACTGAGTCACAGAGAAGTAAAGCATTTGGACACTGCCCTCCGTAACAATTAGGCCAAAAAACAAAAGTGAAAGAGCGATAGGTGCTGAGGTTGAGGTTGTACAGGACAGTATCAGAGCACAGACTCCCCGTGGAGCACAGGGCAAAGTGGAGGTGTGGAGACGGGGACAGTGTGGACAGGGGAGAGGGAGACACATTGAGAACCACACACTTTCTGGAAGCCATGGCTGGAGGTTAATGGGTTAATGACAGAAGCTAAGCACTGGGAGAAGTTCACAGTGACCACCAGGTGGCAGAGAGCACCAAGGAAGGGATGAGGGGGTCACACTTTTCCCCAAAGGCCTGTGAGAAATGGGATGGAGGAGAGTACAGTCATTTATAGGACAGTCATTTAGAAAAAATGATCAAGAAACAGCAGAAAATCCAGAAAGGTGTGGTCAGGGAAGAAAGTATTTTTGAGAAGGGGACCAAAGTCCCAAAGACAAAGACTGAAAAATTATTTAGCTTAGCAACAAAGAGACCAGAGGGGAGTGTGATGGGGGCAGCTTCAGTGAGGCTGTGGGCAGACTGCAAAGAGGTGCGGAGTCAGCATATGAGGGAGACAGGAAAGTGCAGATCGGTCTTTCAAGAAGCTTGTCCACCAAATGAAGGAGGGGCTGTCGCTAGAGGGCAATGTGAGCGGAGAGTAGGTCGCATCCCATTGTTTTAGAATAGAAGAGACTCGAGCATACCTGACAACAGAGAAGAGTCAGTGGAAGGGAAGTTGGAGAAGAGAAGGGATCACTGATGGAGGGCGTTCCCCTGAAGGCTTCCTGCAGGTAATCTTGTCTTTGATTTCTGACAATTCATTTTCAGCATGTACCATATACTCACTTGAGAAATAGAGCAACAGAATGCCTCCCTAACCAAAGTATGGAGAGTTTAACCACTGACTTGAAGAATATTTTACAAGGTAACTTGCTCGGCATGTGGACTTGAAATTGTTCAAGATGATGATGAGAACTGAGATCCCCAAAGCAGAAGGCAGCGGACCTGTGCAGGTGCCTGCAGGAGACTTGGCCAGCGAGCAGCTAAGAAACCCAGCGCTGCCTTCTGCTGACAGCTAAGCTTGACTGGTCTTCTCCAAGCTCTGTGGACCTGATTCTACTCCTCAAAAAAGATAAATTCTGGTTCAAAATAGCAGACAAACCAACCACGCATGTTTATCCCCTCTTTCATCCAAGCTCTACTTACAAGACAGAAAAAGGACAGCAGATATGCAATCTCCACAAAGGAGTAGGGGATTGAGGAGTGGGAACTCTCTAAAGCAGGACAAAGCTATAAAGTAAGCACCGTCAGAGGGGATTCACACCCTACACACACTGCAGCCTCCACACATTCACACTCGGGGGGGGGCGGGGGGAACCTGGCTCTCCCCAGGTGAAGGCGCTACCAAGCACCTGGCAGGGGGAGGAACTGAGGGGCTGACTTAAAAGTCAGGATAAGGAAGGTAGTTGCCACTGCTCACTGGTTAGTGTGCTGGCCTCGCACACCAGGGGCAGTGAGTTTGAACCTCACCTGGGCCTGATTAACAAAAAAAGAAAGAAAAGTCAGGGTAAAGAGCAATCAAAAACCCAGGTCCTGGCTCGTAGCACAGTGGTTACGGCGCTGGCCCTGTGCACTGAGGCTAGTGGGTTCAAACGCAGCCCAGGCCAGCTAAACAACAATGACAGCTGTAACAGCAAAAAGAAAAATTTAGCCAGATGTTGTGGCAGGCACCTGTAATCCCGGCTGCTTCAGAGGCTGAAGCAGGAGAAACGCTTGGGCCCAGAAGTTTGAGGTTGCTGAGAGCTGAGACACCACGCACTCTACTGAGCGCAACAAAGTGAGACTCTGTCTCAAAAAAAAACAGGTCCTTCCCAGATCCTATGTTACTACCCTCTATCTATCTCCTCCAAGGAACAGAGATTATCTTCTCTGGAGAACTGAAGCAGAAAAACTGTGGCTTCAGGGCACAGTGCACAACAGATATCTGAGATGAACACAAGACTAAACACAGGGACCACAACAGAGCCCTCAGCGCCCTGCGCTCTGCCTGGCTCCCAGAACACAGCCAGCCAGCTCCCTGCATCTTTCCCCCGCTCCCAAGAAGAGGATGGAGGCATCTACTGAGGAGAAATTGATCGTCTCCACAAATGACTCAGTAATACTGATACTGGGCAGCTCTCCAACAGCAGACCTGCCTACCACCTGAACCACACCAGCTGAGGAGGTCCACCCAGATGTACAAACCTTATGGTCAGGTATTTATAGTCTCATGTGTAATACCAAACAAGGGTCACAAACACTTGAAGAAAGCTTTCATCACAAAAAAGAAAGTTAAGAATAAACCAAAAGGGACTTGGTGCCCATACCACAGTGCTTACGGCACCAGTCACATGCACCAAACTTGGCGGTTTCAAGCCCAACCGGGGCCAGCTAAACAACAATGACAACTGCAACAAAAAATAGCCAGGCATTGTGTGGTGGGTGCCAATAGTCCCAGCTACTTGGGAGCTGAAGCAAGAGAATCACTTGAGCCCAAGAGTTTGAGGTTGCTGTGAGCTGTGACACTGTGGCACTCTACCAAGGGCAACAAACTGAGACTCTGTCTCAAAAAAAAAAAAGAATAAACCAAAAGGAAAAAGAATTTTGAAAAAAAGGCACAGAGAAAGATTTGATCAAGTATTACTAATATCTTCAGAGAAATGTATAGTAAGAAAAAATAATTGAGTTTATGAAACAAATACAGTTTTATTAAAAAAAGAACAAAAAGCTCTTCAAAATTGAAAATAATCTTGATTAAATTAAAAACTGAACAGAAAGGCTGAAAATTAAAATGCAAAATAATCTCACAGAAAATAGAAAAAATGGTAAAGATTAGCCAGATGCAGTGGCTCATGCCTGTAATCCTAGCACTCTGGGAGGCCACGGCAGGTGGATCACTTGAGCTCAGGAGTTTGAGACCAGCCTGAGCAACAGTGAGACCCCATCTCTACTAAAAATGAAAAAATTGGGGCAAGAGGATCACTTGAGCCCAAGAGTTTGAGGTTGCTGTGAACTATGACACCACGGCAATCTACCGAGGGCAAAAAGGTAAAGATTAAAACTAGAAGATACTATGACTTGTCATGAATTTGAAAAACTAGAAAAGATAAGGAAAAATCAAGTGATTAATCTAACATCTTACTATTAAGAATTACAGAAACAGAGAACAGAAAAAAATGGAGGCACGAACATTTCCCAGAATAAAACATAAATCTCAAGATTAAAGAGATAACAAAAGATCCTAAAACCATCTATATTAGAAGGAAAACAAAACAGCAATAATAGAAGAAACCAAAAAAAGTCATACACATAGCAATGGTACTAAGAATGGCATTGAACTCTCAACATTGCAGGCTAGAAATCAATGGAGCAACATCTTCAAATTTCTCAGGGAAAGTTACCTGCAACCTAAAACTTTACACCCAGCCTCACAGTCAAGATGGAGAGCAAAACAAAACATTTTCAGACTCTCAAAAACTCAAAATATATACCACCCTACTTATGCTTCTTAGGGAGCTATTATACAGGGTGTCCATAACGTGCCCGCAAACTTCATGGCCACCATGTCTGTGTTTCAGCAGGTGAAAAAATAAATCTAGAAAGAGAGTCTGACAGTAAGAGCTGTGCACAAGTGCAGAGAGACACCAGTCCCAAGTGGAACAGGTTACAGAAGTCTCTAAAAGGGGACAGGTTTGTTGGAGCATGCGGGAAAATACCTAACCTTTATAGAGGAAAGCAACCAAATGAATATGGGACCATTGTTAACTACAGAAAAAAATCAAAAATTGTCAAGAAATGTCATAAAGAATACTACTTAACTAAGCAGTGACCAATATTTATATTTTTATAAAAACTTAGCATTTATACTCCATAAAAAAACTTCAAATCTTTAGGGAGAATGAAGGTAAGAAAGGGGTGTTAGCGGAGAGGCGGGAATGTAAGAGAGCAAAATGCTCATCCATAACACGGAAGTAAATGTCTAATGATACCTCAAGAACTAGTGTCAACAAAGCATTTAGAAGCATGGAAACAAATAATAGAAGAAATAACTAAAAAGTGGTAAGCAATTAGCTCCAGACAGCAAGTCGGTGTTAGGGGAGGGTAATAGAGGTTTTTTATTGATAGCAGTTACATAATGATAGCTAACCTTTACTAAATAGTTACTATTTTCCAGCCATTATTCTAGATGCTTTACACGTATTAGCTTAAAATCCCCTCAACAACCTTATGAGCTATGTATTACCTGGATTATTATTCCTATTTTACAGATTAGGAAATTGAGGCACAAAGAAATTGAGTAACTTGCCCAAGGTCAAACACCTAGGAAATGTGGGAAGTGAAGATTCAAAGCCAGGCAGTCAAACTCCCAATCTGGCCTCTTAGCTGCTATGTTATAGTGCCTGCCAATTTTATTATTGTTCCAAGCCCTGTGGCTGGCAGTTAGGTAGTCTAGCATCCCTAAAGAGAGGGATCTTCTTGGATCATTTTGGGTGCTGGAGTGTGAACAGCTTCTATTCAATTAATCTTTGCATGCCTTTCATGTACTTGACATTCCTTTTACGTTAATATTTGTCATTGTTAAAATACATCCTCATTGATAGCTTCTTTAGGAGATAAATAACAGGTGTTTGTTTTAACTTAATTCATAATAAAAGCAACATATTTCTTTTGCCAATCTGAAAGTTTTTAGGAAGCTTAATAAAGACTACTGAAGAAGTGGATAAAAAGTTTTACTGAGGAAGTCATTAGTAGTATTACTCTCACCTGTGCCATCAATCTTTTGTTCAAAAATCAAGTGTTCTGAAATATCTGAAAAAAAGACAGTACTACTCCGGGCATCAAAATCAATCCCAACAAAGAAAGAAGAACTCCCTGTCACTGGAACCATGACATCTTCCTGGGTGGACAAGGTGAACGGGATCCCACGAACAGTCCTCTGGGATGAAAACAACAGGAAGTTCTGAACAGCTGTAGGAAGACGGACACAGCACAGTCAGCCACTGCATGGTTCTTGCCCTCCTGCTCTCAGTCCAGAGAAATCAATTATTCACTTTACAGTTGTGAAATAATAATTCTGAAGTAAGCATAGAAAATGTATGTGTGGAAAACATAGTTTGAAATCATGGAAGGGAAGAAAATGATAAGTAACAACGAACGTCATACAAATATTACAAATATCTTACTTCTTCCTGGGAAATTTATCCTTAACATTTATTATATAAAAAAAGATGCCCATGTGCTTAATTTCATTTTTTTTTCTTTTTCATCAACACCATTTCAACCTGACCTTCTCAGTTAGATTAACTATTGTATAAAGATCTATACTGAGAATCCTGTTTCAGTTTTTGAGGCATAAAGATCATGAAGAAGAACTAAAAGCCGCTGGAAATAGAAAGAAAGAAAGGTGTGAAGGAGGGAAGGGAGGGGAGAAATGAAGAAAGCAGGTAAGGAGTGATGCTTAAAATCGAGAAAGGAGAACATGCCAGCGTGTCCGAAAATCAAAAAGATAAAGGAGGGATGCCCAAGACAAAGGTCAAAATTGCACACAGGAACTTAAAAGCAAACTTATTAGACTAGGTGCCCTTGATGTAATAGTTATAACTACATGGGCTTTTATGAATGAAGGTGATTTTTCTGAGTCTAGGGTTACCTAATGAAGTAAAAAAAATCTACCTGACTTAGAGTAAGTCAGAATACTTAATAAGCCAGAAACAGTAACATCTGGGGAACAAAAAATTTGTCGAAACCATAAAATTAAGGGTTGTAGAGAGAAAAATAAGGGGAAAAAGGCTGGTGTAACTCTGGCACTCTGGGAGGCCAAGGTGAGGAGATTCCATGAGCTCAGGAGTTAGAGACCAGCCTGAGCAAGACCACCCCCCACCCCCTGTCTCTACTAAAAATGTTTTTTAAAAAATTAGCCATGCATTGTGTGGGGTACCTTTAAGTCTCAGCTGCTCAAGAGATGGAGGCAGAAGGATCCCTGAAACCCTGGAGTTTGAGGTTGCTGTGAGCTAGGCTGAGCCCATGGCACTCTAGCCTGGGCAACAGAGTGAGATTCTGAAGAAAGAAAAGAAAGGAAGGAAAGGAAAGAAAGAAATAAAGAAAAGAAATAAACAAATATTGGAGGAGTGCATTTCATCATCAGCTGGGAAACTTCAATATGGGAATGAAACCGGGAGCACACAGACAGATACAAAGAAAGTTTGAACTGAAAGGTGAAAGGCCACATGAAGAATTGGGTCACCCAAATGGACTTTACTTAGGACTATAGCACAAAAACAGTTAGGATTAAGATGTGATTACCTGGCTCAAAGGGGCATCAGTGGTGGTCTAGGAGAAATCAAAAGTGAAGAGAAGCACAGTACTTCCCATTAGAGTGAAGGCTATCACAGAAAGTGGAAAAGGTATACACAGTACAGAAAAGAGCTCAAAATTCAATCATGAAATTTCAAGACCATAGTCAATAGGAGAAATGGTTTCAGGAAACAAAGAGGGAAGGGAGTCAAGAAAACACTACACATGTTTTTTACACTAGATGTGTGTAATTAAAGGAAAATCCCAAAGGACAGAAGTTTTCATCTTCAAAGACAGCTAGCTCTGAATATACAGGAAGACACTCCATGGGCTAGAGAAGACATCAGATAGGAAGCTGGCCCAGTCCAAGAGCAGCAGTTTGTCTGGGTAAAGGAAGGAACACACATGCCTGTGCTGCCCACCAAGGAAGTCCACACATTTCTTACCAGCACAGTGGAGCCCATCCGCATCCAGTTGGAAGCCAAACGTGCATTTGCAACGGAAACCCAAACCATTATTATCTGTTCTGTGACTGAGGACACAGATCTGTTCACAGCCCCCATTGTCCTGTTTACACGGATTGCTAGCTGGAGGAAAAAATGTCCAGGGTTAAATTGCAATTAGAAATGTATAATTATGCAATATATGTAAAGCCACTTTGAACACTGCAAATGAAATAAATAGGGCCGAGTGTGGTGGCTCACACCTGTAATTTTGGAACTTTGAGAGGCCATGGTGGGAGAACTGCTTGAGGCAGGAGTTCCCCCAGCCTGGGCAACATAGCAAGTCCCCTCATCTACAAAAAATAAGGAAAGTTATATCTAGGTGTGGCAGTACATGCCTACAGTCCCACCTGAGGCAGAAAGATTGCCCAGGAGTTTCAGGCTACAGTACTCCAACCTGGGCGACCAAGTGAGACCCTGTCTCTACAGAGATATATATATATTTTATTAATGGTAATTATTTTTGCTAATTTTTATTATACACAATTGTATATATTTATAAGGTACATGTGATATCTTGAAGAACACAATGTGGTGGAGGCAGAAGAATCGCTTGAGCCCAGCAGTTGGAGGTTGCTGTGAGCTGTGATGCCATAGCACTCTACCCAGGGTGAGAGCTTGAGGCTTTGTCTCAAAATAAAGAAAACTAAAAGCTTTTGTTTCTGGCTCGGTGCCTGTGCCACAGTGGTTACAGCACCAGCCACATACACCAAGGGTGGCGGGTTCAAACCCAGACCGGGCCTGCTAAACAACAATGACATATGCAACAACAAAAAAAATAGCCAGGCATTGTGGCGGTTGCCTGTATTTCCAGCTACTTGGGACCCTGAGGCAAGAGAATTGCTTAAGCCCAAGAACTGGAGGTTGCTGTGAGCTGTGATGCCATAGCACTCTACCAAGGGTGACATAATGAAACTCTAACTCAAAAAAAAAAATAGAGAAAAAGAAGAAAAGCTTTTGTTTCTGTCTTTTGTTCACTTTTTAATGAAGTTGTTTGATTTTTTCTTACTGATTTGCTTGCTTTATGTAGAATCTCATTATCAGCCCGTTATTGGATATATAGCATGCAAATATTTTCTCCCATTCTGTAGGTTGTCTATTTCCTCTGTAGATTATTTCCTTGTCTATGCATAAGCCTTTTAATTTAGTCAAGGACAATTCATTGATTTTTTGCTTATGCTATGATTCCTTTTGGGGTCTTCTGCATAAATTCTTTGCCTAGCAAAATTTATAAGAGTATTTCCAACATTTGCTTCTAGAATTCTTACACAGTTTCCTGCCTTTGGTTTAAGTCTGTTATCCATCATGAATTAATTTTTGTAGTGAGAGGTATGGAACATGTTTCATTCCTCTTCATGTCACTATCCAATTTTCCCAACACCATTTATTGAATAAAATTGTTTTAAGAAATAAATTTGAAAATAAGAAATAGAGGAATGGATTTGCAACTCATTGGAGGCATCACTACGGCTTTCTACTGTGTACATCCACTCCACATCTGGCTGCACCAATCCTCCCGATTTCACCGTTAATCTCCCATCCACTCTCACACTACAACAAAAAACAGGACTCCTACTTCCAGATAACTGTGCAGTTCTATCTCCCCAATAATTACATCAAAGTAGGTCTGCTATCCATGACTAGAAATAATTCCCCTCACTACCACCAAAAAAACCCTTTAGAGCTATTTAACAATAGTTGGACATAGTAAATAACTATTTATTAATCACTGATATTTACTTTATAAATAAGACAACTTAACAACCAATGGCTCTAAGAAGTATTCTCTCAATTTTACAGAAGAGAAAATCCATTCAGCACCTAATGGCTTAAGTAGGATTCGAATCCAGATCTGTAGTATCTGCTTTTGAAATTGTTTTCTTAGCTTTTCACTTTTTTTCAGGTTGTGGATGGGGCTGGGTTTGAACCCACCACTTCTAGTATATGGGGCTGGCACCCTACTCCTTTGACCCACAGGCACCACCCCCCTTTCACATATTCTTTAAAATATCCTCTTTACATTCTCAGGTGGATTGATCAGGGAAAACAACAGACAAATACCATGTACATATCATTCTAAGCCAAAAAACAGACATGGTCATTTGGATGATCTGAGTAAAAGCAGGTGTGAAGTTAGTAGCTCATGAATTATGCCTAAAAACTATTTCAAATAAGCTGGGTACAGTAGCTCATGCCTATAATCCAAGCACTTTGAGAGGCCAAGGTGCAAGGATCACTTCAGGCCAGAAGTTTGATACCAGCCTGGACAACATAGCAAGGCATGCCTAGCCCACTCCATCTTTACAAAAAGTTAAAAAATGAGCTGGATATGGTGGTGTGTGCCTGTAGGCCCAACAACACAGGAGGCTGAGATAGGCAAATCATCTGAGCCCAAGAGGTTGAGGTCTTAGTGAGCTATGATAATGCCGCTGCACTCTACCCCTAGCAACAAACAGAAATTCTGCTTTTAAAAAAAGAACTATTTCAAACAGATATTTCCAAAATATTTTCAGATAAGTATGTTTTCCTCTGATGACCCTATAGAATATTCACTTGAGATTATCAATTCTTGTGGTTTGGTATTTTTTCTTAAATTAACTGGATTACTTTCGCTCTTTCTCCATCCTAAACAGAACCACCAGTAAGCATAAGCATTTTAAAGCAACTCTTTCTTTCAATTATTGCTCACCAATATTAAGCTTTCTACCAAGGTAATTTACTTGATCATATTTCTTTGATCTACAAGCAAATACAGAAAAGAGCCATGTGCAGTTATATATGTCAAAGCTCAATCTATACCCTGGAAACACAAATAAAACTTACTATAAAATAAGGAAATTTTAGCATATATAATAATTCAAAACATTTATTTTCTTTAATAAGTGACCAGCCAGAGAGACGCCAAACCCAGCTGGCATATGACAGATCTATTAGGAACCAAAGGATGGGTACCAGAGAAAAAAATGGCTGTAACTCCCTATATTAGCACTTGGAAATCTCATTTTCTTCTATTGGGCTTCAGTTTCCTTTATTAAAATATTAGAAATTTGAAATAGAAGATTTTTATCCCAGTAGAGTGAGTATAGGTATTTTTGTTTGGTTTATCTAGACAAGACGTGGGACATTGCAGGTGCTAATGAATATCTGGTAAGTAAATCTCTAAATTCCCCCTAGTTTTAGCATTTTAACTCTGAAATAATCAATTTCTCTAGAATGTTCATGATCTGCAGAGCATCTGAGATATCTCTCAGATATCTCTCTAATTCAGAAAGTTTAACACTCTAGATAACTCTTCGTATATTTGAGAAGATTATCCAAGTCTCATGAGATCCCTTATTTTTAACTTCCATAACTTTGAGAAAAGCTATCTACCAAGTCTAGAAACAAGCATGGTTACCACTGTTCTGAGGCTTACCATAGGGCTGTTTGAGGGCATGGTAAACTGTCACTCCATAGGGGTTCAGGGAAGTCTTATACAACATGCGTGGATTGGTCTCTCTGAACTTGTTGGCCTTCATCACAGCCATCTTTGTCCAATCAGTATAGAACACATGACTTTCAAACAAACTTATTCCAAAGGGATGAGGAATAAGGGAGCCTCCATGCATGACTGTCTTCCTGTTACAAAAGATAAGGATGTATCATTCAATTTTTTTGTTTTGCTTTATTATGATTAAAGGTATAGTTAGTTCAATTAAGTGCTAATAAAGCTAAATCTCTTGCTATAAATATAAAATATATACAAATGCATGTGTAGTTCCAGCTACATTTATAGAAGGATTTTGTTGTCTCTTAAAAAATACCCTCAAGACTTAAATTCCAGACCCAGTCATTTCTTTAGCTTGTTGTAGACCTAACTGGAATATACTGTTTTCTCATTTATTCTTCATTCCTTTAAGGGTGCCCTACATATAAAAGCCTTACATGTGAAATAGAGTTTTGAATCCCATAGATGAGAGAAGGGTTTGGAAATCTGATGGACATGCCTTCAACATTTTCCACTGCTCCACTGACCATTTAGGGATTAGGATGGTGAGTGGTAGAGTTCAACCCACAGAGAACACTGAGATCTATTCCTGATAAGAGCAGAGAGCAGTGCTTCCACTGTTAGGTATCCGCTTAATGATACTGTCACCTGATCATCCTTGCAGTGGAGGCACAGAGTGCCCAGACCTACTTTAATGGGAAGGAAATGGAAGTGAAAGGCGCTAGGGAGGGCAATGACACCTGCCATGACTGACACCTGCCATCCTGCATCTCTGTGGACAGTGATTCAATTAGACACACAACAAAAGTAAAGTAGAGGATGGTTTAGGAGGAAAAGCTCTTATTTTCTTTCTTTTGGCATAATAAAAACACATAGAAGAAAAATCTCAGCAGCCCCTGAAAACTAAAAAATAAACAGAGTTCTGAGAAAAGGCTTTAAGACACTAAAGCAGGGAAACAGTGAAGGGGAGAAAACAAAGAGAGCGAAGGTGGCAAGTCACTGCACACTTTGAAACGCTCGATCATGACATGGTGCATTAAGATTAGGGAATGGTTTTCTTTCTCAGTTAGTAAATTCCAGAATCCTGAATGCCACCTGCTGGCAAAGCAAGAGGCAATGACTTTATGATTTCAGCTTAACTCTTCAGCTTTAATATTTCTTTGAAGTTTCTTCACAGCCAGCAAGCCACTCAAATCTTTCTGAAACTCCACTGATTTTTACCCTTTATGCTTCACTTTAACCTTAGCATAAAAATACTGAGACTACTTAACACAATGCTAAAACACACCACTGAAAAAGAAAAAATTACGCAATATCACAATTGTTTTATATAGGACTCACGATATGTTTTAATAAATGTAACTGATATTCACACGAAAACCCATTTCACTTGTAGGAAATTGTGGTATTGATACAATCACTTCAATTAACCAAGCAGAGATTGCTCTAAGGATATATAATCCATCAACAAACTGGTACCTTCCTTACAAAATAGAGATACAAGAGAAAACAAAACTATATCATTGCTTTCCTTGAGAAAATAATAAAATCAAGTCATTAGGAAAAATAAAACTGGCCAGCTTATTTGCTGAATCAATAGAGAGTAATTTCTCTTGGTCAAAATTTGCAGGACATGTTTTACGCCATTTTTTTTTTAATTGTTGGGGATTCATCGAGGGTAGAAACCAGGTTACAGTGATTGCATTTTTAGGTAAAGTCCCTCTTACCATGTGTCTTGCCCCCCAAAGCAAAAGGACAGAATCTAAAATAGTGAGTTAATTTATAGTTAGCTCTACTTTGACTAAGAAAATGAAGAAAAACCACTTCATATTCTACATTCGAATACTATTATTTAAGAATCTTTGAAAGAGAGTAGGTAAAAATACAATACAAAGAATTTCTCCTGGAAATTTGAAATATTTAAGAGTAGAATAAAATCCAATTAATTCACAGTGAATAGCATCAAATACATGATTAAAACGTTTTTTATTGGGGTAAAAGTTAACGTGATCTTGAGAAATAAAGCATGAGGCATCTAGAGAAATAGACTCAGGAATGAATGAAAATAATGCATTTAATTTGGGGCCAAGAAAGGGTTGGAGAGGAGAAATCAAAGAACAAAGGCTCAAGGTAATATTTAAAGTGTTATTATGGAACATAAGAAAAGTTTAAACTCGGATCAGATCACTTCATGCAAATGTCCGTACGAAGGTCATTTCGAGCGATGCTGTCAATGAACAAAACGATATTTTAATTCTGGTCTTTTCCACCTGTTTTATGTACTTTCCCCCCAAAACTCGTAAAACTATAAACAATAATTCTTACCTCTGAATTCCATCATAAGTTACAGTTTCAATGTAATCATACCGAGAGTCAACCCAATAAACACGCTTGGCTATCAGATCCAGTGTTATCCCACCAGGGAATCCCAGCTTCGTTTTCACTAAGTCTTTACGGTTGCTGCCATCCATGAAAGCCCTTTCCACCTTAGGTTCCCCAGAAAGGCTCTCCCAATCAGAGAAAAATAAATAACTGCAAAAGAAAAACAAAAGATGACGAATCTGTTTGTTAATTTTAACTGGAAAATATTTTTTTTTATAAATAGTGTGTTTGGATCAATGGAAATTTTCTCCAGTTGATTAGAGAACCCTGCTACTATAAACCAACAGTGAAATGTAAAGATATTTTTGAAAAAGCAAAGACTGTGAGGACCAATCAAGAGAGTCAACAACTCCAAATAGTGACCATTTAAATTTATTAACATGGGCTCATCGCCCGTAGATCAGTGAGTAGGGCACCAGCCACATACACCAAAGCCTGGCCCAGGCCTGCTAAACAACAATGACAACTGCAAAAAAAAAAAAAAAAAAACAGCCAGGCATTGTGCGGGTGCCCATAGTCCCAGCTACTCAGGAGGCTGAGGCCAGAGAATCACTTAAGTCCAAGAGTTTGAGGTTGCTGTGAACTGGGACACCATGGCACTCTACGGAGGGTGACATACTAACATGGTGGCCTAAAAACGCATATTCTGATGGCTATGATGGTAGGTCCCTGTGGTCCCAGCTATTCAGGCAGTAAAGGCAGAAGGAACCCTCAGGTTGAAAGCCAGCCTAGGCAACATGGCAAGACCCCTTCTTAAAAACACAAATCTATATATACCTCCTGAACTTTCTCCTCTCTTCCCGTTACTGTCTTTAATCTGCAGCTCTCTCTTTTTGAGACAGAGTCTCACTCTTTCACCCTATCTAGAGTACAGTGGTATCATAGCTCACTGCAGCCTCCCAACTCCTGGGCTCAAGCAATCCTCCCACCTCAACCTCTTGAGTAGCTAGCACTATAGGTGTGCATCACCATGCCCTGCTAATTTTCTCTATTTTTAGTAGAGGTGGTGATCTCACTCAGCCTGGCCTCGAACACTGCCATCATTTTCAAGGAAGGACAGGTGATATAATGAAATAGAACTAAATAATCACTATTCGTCAAACTAAAGTAGCCTACTGTTCATTCAAGAGTCCTAGGACTCAACTGTGAAATTTTGAAAGAAATCTAAGTCTCCTATAACTCTTCTCAGATGTGGAGATGAGGAAAATTTGTATTTAAACCTGAAGAAGAGCATTGCTAGTTTTGCTGGGTTGGTTCACACCAAAAAACTTGTAATGAGACATTAACACTGATATCTCAACCCCAGTCTGTAATAAGAAAGCACAAAAGGCAATAATTCTAACCTCCTTTCCTCTCTTTAAAAACTTTACTGCTAATTCATTACCGTTAGAATATATAATTTGTTACAATGTTTGTCTTAATAATGGTGAAATATATGTAATTTTTTGCTATTTTAATATTATAGATTGAATCAGAACATAGAATCCAATCTCTTAGCCAGGCAAATGTAGCAAACACCAAGAATAAACTTCATGCCCCCCAAATGAGGTATTTTTATTACACCAATAGGTGTATTTGAATTACATATTCTCAAATGGGGTTTTATTTAATCAACGCCTCGAATGTTTCTATTGCTAGGCATGAAGTCTCCCACCTATATCCTAGCACTTTGGAAGGTTGAGACAGGAAGATCACTTAAGACCAGGAGTTAGAAACCAGCCTGGGCCACACAGGGAGACCCCATCTCTACAAAATTTTAAAAATTTGCCAGGCGCTAATTTTGGTGCACACCTGTAGTCCCAGCTACTTGGGAGGCTGAAGCAGTAGGATCAGTTGAGCCCAGGAGTTGGAGGCAGTGATGAGCTGTGACCATGTCACTGCACTCCAGCCTGAGCAACAGAACAAGACCCTGCCTCAAAATTAAATAACCAAAGCTTCTATAAATAAGGATATAAAATAAACATGTATTTTAGAGTACAGAGCCTAAACCAAATAAGAATTAATCTTCAATTAATCCAATGTATAGAACAGAGATAAAACTAAAAATACAGGAATCAGTATTTTTCACATCACTTACCCAACAGTTGGGTCCAGGGCAATTCCTCTAGGACGCCCTAAGTTTTCTGTTATAAGGGTAACCCGGTAGCTTCCATCCAAATTTGCCACATCTATGCGGTTGATCCTGGTCTCTACCACATAGAGTTTATTATTAACCCAGTCCACAGCCAGGTTCTCTGGACTGTCAACAGAAACATTGAGAACTTCTTGGATATTTAAACCATTAATGTTAACTGAATAAACCTGAAAGAAAAACCAAAATCGTTATCCTTCTAAAGCACTACTAACTGTGTGATTTATTTTGACTTTCAGCTATAATCAAATCAGAATTGCTAATAATCCAAATTCTCAACTTTTAGAATTTTTATACAAGTTATCATTGAAATAAATTAGGCTTTTATTTATGGCACAAAAAAAATGTAAGAGGAAGAAATAAATAAACTTCCATAACTTTTTAGGCACCTCTGAAATTTATGTTTCAAAAATCTCCATTGCCTTTCTCAAAGTTGAAGTTAAATCAATTACACTTTCCCTATAAGACAGTGTAATAAATTTTGGCTGCTAAACAAAACACTGTCAATATTTGTTATCCAATCTTCAATTACAGCTCCACTTAGGAGATGCAGGTACAAATTTGATTTTTATCATCCAGGAAAGCAGAGTCCTTTCTACATTTCAAATGATCAAGTTTCAAAAATTACTACCAAATATCTATCCAGTTTTGAAAGAATGTCTACTATTTCTTTTAATTAGGCTTTTGGACTCCATTTCGAATAAAATTAAAAGTTGCTCAAGCCTAATCCATATAATAGTCCGCTTTGTTTAATAGGTCACATGTAATAGTATAGCATGGAAAAGGTGGTGATTAACATAAAACATCTCAAGGGCCTTTTTTGTTAGGAAACAAAGGAACTTTCCCCTCTATTCCCCCCAAAATGAAAAACTATCAACACTCTGTGCTTGAGGTTCCAGTCAGCTCCAAATACACTCCTGAAATTTCTATTTACCTTATTTCGCACATAGTCTGTCCAAAAGACCTTGCCCAGGCGATAGTGGAAATCTACACCCACGGCCATTCCACGAGGGGACTCTACTAGGTTCCGGAAGCTGGTTCCATGAACGTCACCAATTAGCAAGTCCTGACCATTGGAGAAGATAATGGAGGGCTGGCCAGCTAAAAGTGAAGAAGGAGAACATTACCCCACTCCTTACACTGTGCATGGATGGAGAAGTACCTTACAACTGATATGCTCTCTGCTTTTTCAAATGTTATCTTCTATGTTATCTTGCCTGATCTTAACATAAACCTCTGAGGCAGACAGAGAGTGATCACTCCACCCATTTTACAAGAGATAAATTGAGGCACACAGATGCTCAAGGTGTCCAAAATCACAGTAAGTTAGGAATAGTTTGACAAGAATTCAAGAGTCCTGACTGCCAGTCCAGTACCTTCAACAACATTGAGGAGAATTTCAGATATTTTCAAGATGCCATTATGATTTGAGCAATTTACCTCCATGTGCAACTTTAGATTGTGTTAAACACAGAACACATTTTAAAGATTACCAGGAACTCACTGTGAAAAATACGGCAATGGTGGTTGTAAACCTGCTGTCTATATACTCACAAGTATATAAAATGACATAGGAGTAAGGTTATCTATTCAATCTTATTTGCAATAACAAAAGATAAGTCCATCAAATAAGGGACCAGATAAAAAAATTACACATATAGGAAGGCTGAGGCAAGAGAACTGCCTAAGCCCAAGAGCTGGAGTTTGCTGTGAGCTGTGACACTATGGCGCTCTACCAAGGGCGACAAAATGAGACTCAGT